CTGGCCCTTTGCAATCTAAAATTACCTAACAAACTGCAGCTGGGTCAGAGAGACACAGAACATCCAAAAGAAGGCCCAAGGCCCCACAGCAGCTTGCATTGCTTCACAGCTGGGCCTCATCTGGGCACCTCCAAACCCCAAACAAAGAAGAGGAATCTGCAGATCTCTCCATAGCTCCTGCTGGGTAGCCTCAGGCAGAGGCTAAATTAGCACCTCCTTAGAGATCCAAGAGCCAGTGTACCCAGTGGTCAGAGTGGGACCATCCAGATTACAACTCCTCAGATCCATAAGGGACACACTCAGGGGGCAGACTCAGTGAGCACCAAAGCCCCACTGAAGCAAGTCTTGCCCCATAAGGGTGTCTCCAGCACAGAAGTTCTCCCACAGTAGATACAGATGATTTTCACAGCTAATTGGCCTGAAGGTCAATTCCTCCCAGTGATACCAACTACAATCAAGGCTTAACTACAACAAGACTGTGCACACAGCCCACAAGGGGGGGCACCAAGAGTGTCCACCTCAGGTAATTGGGGAGGCTGAGTCACTGGGCCCTATAGGACACCTAGCACAGAAAGCCACTCTATCAACACAGGGAAGCAGCCAAAATGAGGAGACAAAAAAAAAAAACAGGTCACAAATGACAGAAATGGAGGAAAGCAAACTACTGGATATAGAGTTCAAAACCACGGTTATAAGGTTACTCAAGAATCTTCTAGAAACCGCCGATAAATTTAGTGAGACCCTCAATAAGTCTAGTGAGACCCTCGAGGATATGAAAAAGGACCAACTAGAAATTAAGCATACACTGACTGAAATAAAGAATATTATACAGAGATCCAATAGCAGACTAGAGGATCGCAAGAATCAAGTCAAAGATTTGAAATACGAAGAAGCAAAAAACCCCCAACCGGAAAAGCAAAAAGAAAAAAGAATCCAAAAATATGAAGATAGTGTAAGGAGCCTCTGGGACAGCTTCAAGCGTACCAACATCCGAATTATAGGGGTGCCAGAAGAAGAGAGAGAGCAAGACATTGAAAACCTATTTGAAGAAATAATGACAGAAAATTTCCCCTACCTGGTGAAAGAAATAGACTTACAAGTCCAGGAAGAGCATAGAACCCCAAACAAAAGGAATCCAAAGAGGACCACACCAAGACACATCATAATTAAAATGCCAAGGGCAAAAGACAAAGAGAGAATCTTAAAAGCAGCAAGAGAAAAACAGTCAGTTACCTACAAGGGAGTACCCATATGACTGTCAGCTGATTTCTCAACAGACATTATGCAGGCCAGAAGGGAGTGGCAAGAAATATTCAAAGTGATGAATAGCAAGAACCTACAACCAAGATTACTTTACCCAGCAAAGCTATCATTCAGAATTGAAGGTCAGATAAAGAGCTTCACAGATAAGAAAAAGCTAAAGGAGTTCATCACCACCAAACCAGTATTATATGAAATGCTGAAAGGTATTCTTTAAGAAGAGGAAGAAGAAAAGGGTAAAGATACAAATTATGAACAACAAATACATATCTATCAATAAGTGAATCTAAAAATCAAGTGAATAAAAAATCTGATGAACAGAATAAACTGGTGAATATAATAGAATCAGGGGCATAGAAAGGGAGTGGACTGACAATTCTCGGGGGGAAAGGGGTGTGGGGGTGCGGGAAGAGACTGGACAAAAATCGTACACCTATGGATAAGGACATTGAGCGGGGGGGTAAGGGCAGAGAGTGGAGTGGGAACCGGGTGGAGGGGAGCTATGGGGGGAAAAAGAGGAACAACTGTAATAATCTGAACAATAAAGATTTAATTAAAAGAAAAAGAGACTGGGAGGAAATATTTGCAAATCACAACCTGACAAAGGACTTGTATCTAGATTGTAGAAAGAATTCTCCCACATTGAAAAAGCATCAAATCCAATTAGAAAATGGGCAAAAGACATTTCACTGAAGAGATATAATTGGCAAATAAGCAATGAAAGTGTGTTCAACATCATTAGCCATTAGAGAAATGCAAATTAAGACCACAGTGAGATATCATTACACACCTATTAGAATGGTTAAAACAAAAACCAGTGATGACACCAAATGGTGTTGAGGAGGAGGAGAAACTGGAGCACTCATACCCTGCCAGGGGGGATGTAAAATAGTACAGCCACTCTGGAAAATAGTTTGGCAGTTCCTTTTAAAACTAAAAATGGACATACCACACAATAAAGCAATTGTATTTTGTTCTAAACACTTCTCTACATGCAATACAGAATAGTCAGTTCACCCATTCACTGAATTAATGCTGTCCTCAATTTGCTGAGCAAGGAGCACTCTCAGAAACATCTCTCCCCAGCTTTGAAGTATGACTAACAAAACTGTAATATATTTAAAGTGTACAATATGAGTTGATATATGTATGAATTGTGAAATGATTCCCATAATCAAGTTAATTAACACATTATCATCTCATGTAGTTACCTTTTTGGGTGAGAATGCTTAAGATCTATTCTCTCAGCATATTTCCAGTGTATAATACAGAGTTATTAACCATTTGCCTCCCATAAGCATCTATAGACACAAGTGGAGGACCTTCCGTTTTGGATGTGTGGCAGTTAACTGGTTAACTATAGCCACCATACTGTCCATCTCAGAACCTATTAATCTCATAACTGAAACTCTGTACCCTTTGAGCAAAATCTCCCCATTTCCTCCACCTTTAGGCAACCACCATTCTATTCTGTTTTTGAGTTCGAATCTTTTTAAGATTCTGCATAGAAGTGATACCATACAGCATATGTCTGACTTAATTCATTTAGCTTAATGCCCTCCAGGCTCATTCATGCTGTTGCAAATGGCCGAATAGCCTTTTTCATTGCTGAATAATATTCCATTGTGTATATAAGCCACATTTCCTTTACTCATTCATCTGTCGACTGACATTTAGGTTGCTTCCTTATATTGGCAAGCAACTGTATTCTTGGGCATTTATCCCAGAGAAATAAAAACTTGTTTTCATGCATGCTGAGGGCGAAATTCTGAAGAACCTCTAGGGATTGTACCAATGTCTTGGTTTAATATTATATCCTAGTTAGCAGGATGTTAACACTGGGGGAGGCTAAGTGAAGGAATTCCCTGTGCATTTCTTCTCAACTTTCTGTGAATTGTTATTATTTCCAATAAAAAGTTTAAAAATAATAATAATGAAGGGGGGACACTGAGCCTTTGAAAAAACAACAAGCTCTCTGGAGTCATCAGTAGCATCACCCCCACGCACGACTCCTCTCCATGCCTCCTGTGTTCCATACCATTCTGCTTACTCCCTCCTTTCTGTGGCAAACTCTTACTAATCTTTCAAAGCCCCATTCAAATGTCACTTCCTCCAGACAGACAGCCTAGAACTTTGGGGCTGGACTGTACTCCCCTTGAGTCTATTTGAGTGTGCATCAGAGTGCATATTGGTTCTAAGACCCTCTCTCCATCACAGTCAGCACACACAGAAAGCTCTTGGGACCCTTTGCTGAATGAAAGTTGAATGGTAACTACTAGAAGATGAAAGAGTATGTTTTCCCCAATTTTACAGCAGAGGCTTACAATCAAACAATGGTTTAGTTCAGCAGCTCTCAAAGTGTGTTTCCTGGACCAGCAGCATTGGTATGGCACATTCTACTCCAGACCCACCAAGTTGGAAACTAGAGGGAGAGGCCCAGTAACTTGTATTTTAACAAGCCCTCCTTCTGGGTGATTCTGAGGCACACTAAAGATGGAGACCCACTAACTTAGTGGACTGATCCTTGGTCTTATGGTAGGTGGTCTTATATATAGACAATCACTAACTCACTCCTTCCTTTCATCAAACATACCAAGAATCTTACCATGTGCCAGATCTGTGCTGCATGATAATCATATACATAAACTGGGAAGGTCTTAGCTCTTAAAAAGCATGAATATGCTCTCTCTCTCTCTCAACTGGGCTAATAGAATGGAGAATGCTCAAGGTCAGGGAACTGAGGGGCAGAGTGGTAGCCCCTAGTGCTAGGGGAGGTTCAGGAAAGACTTCCTGGAGGAGGAGCACCAGTGCTCAGGTGGGCAGGAAAGGGGTGGGATGTGAGGGTAAAGAGTGTGAGGAATTAACCAGGCAGAGGTAAGAACATGAGAACTGAAATGCAAACAGCCTACCTAAGAAACTGGAAGTGACCAGTGACGATGACATGTGGCACTGCAGAAGGCTGGAGAGACAGGTAGGGTCACGGGGGCCACAGGGAGGCACTGAGGCTGTGTCCTAGGGATCTAAGACACCTGGGAGCAGGGGACATATGTAGCCAGATATAGAAAGATTTCCCCTGGCTGCTGAGTGGAGGATGAACCAGAGGAAGTGGGAGTGGAGCTGGGGGCTCAGGGAGGTGTGCAGGGCAGGGCAGTGGGGACAGGAGGAGGGGGTAGGGGCAGATATGCTCAGAAGACTGAAGACTACAGTAAAGGTGAGGACAAAGGGAGACATCCAGAATGAGGCCCATGGCTCAGGTCTGTGACAAGAGAATGGTGAGAGTTCCTGGGCCCCCAGAGGAGGAAGTGCACAGGGCACTGGGGCTGAAGGTAGCTGGGTTTATCCTGGGGGCACAGGAGCCATGGAGGAGTTGGGATGATCCCTCAGTCTGGGGAAGGATCCAAGGGGACAGGACTGAAGCCTGAGGGGCTATGAAAACTGGGTAATGCAGGTGGCCTGGTCTTGGGGAGTGGGGCTGGAGAGGTAAATATATGGCCATGCTGGAAGGCGAATGGTCTTGCTCAAACAAGTGATACAGGTATCAAGAAAGTGGCAACCAATATTCTGCTGCAAGATAAGCCAACGCGAGTCCTGCTCAGGCACAGCCAACCCTCTGATGACCTGCAGGGTGCCAGAAACCCCATAAAATGGCCTTGGACTTACAGGGTATGTGCATTTCCTGGGAAAGAAGGATCCCCAGGTTTCACCAGATTCCTTAATTTGAAAAGAGCGGAGATTCTGACCTTTCTGGGGATGGCTTGTATCTTGCATAGGTGGCCGAGCCTGGGGTGGAGAAGCTCCCAGAAGGTTGTCGGTAGGGAGGGGCTTTGTCGACCCCTGCTGGTGATGCTGTGTAAGGGGTTTCTGGGAAGCTAACAGGCCTGGAACAGACAGGAGGGAAGAAGAAGGTGGGTGAGAGAGGAAGATACCCTTGCCCTCACAGAGGAGGGACAGACAGACCTTTCACTCAGGCCCAACCACATCTCATCTGCTTTATCTGCTATCATCCCCTGGGGGTGGAGAGGGCTGCTGAGCAAAGGGCAGCAGGAAGCTGGGGATACCCCTGCCCACCCCTCCCCCTCTCCCACTTTGGCCTCCGCCCTCAGCCACTGTGGCCCTGACATGGGCCTGATAGGACTGTTCTAGCCCACTCCTGGGACGACATGCTTCTCTGCAGCTTAGATCCCTCCATTTCTTGAAAAACTTCCTTTATCTTTTAATATATAATATATTCAAAAGAATTTATCTGTAAGGTATATGTCATCACAATAAACTCTTTGAACTAGAATGGTGGCAATACCTATACACATGTGGGCTGCTCCCCTTCTCACTTCCCTGCCTCCCCCAGGAAGTTATCACATCCTATACCAGCGATGGCGAACCTTTTGAGCTCGGCGTGTCAGCATTTTTAAAAACCCTAACTTAACTCTGGTGCCATGTCACATATAGAAAGTTTTTGATATTTGCAACCATAGTAAAACAAAGACTTATATTTTTGATATTTATTTCATATATTTAAATGCCATTTAACAAAGAAAAATCAACCAAAAAAATGAGTTCGTGTGTCACCTCTGACACACGTGTCATAGGTTCGCCATACTCTGTGCTTATCAGTCCCTTGCCCTTTTAAAAAATATAGTTTTAACCATACATAGTATGGTGAATTTCCACATCAGACACTGAGCTATTAGCACTAGGCCCTCACACAACGGGCTCAGATTATAAGTTGAAGGAAAGGGAGGCAGGGACAGAGGGAGGGAGGAAGGCATGAATGAATGGAGGGAGGAGGGGGGTAAGGCAAAGGACAAGAAGGAAAGGAGAAAGACTGAGAAGGGACTGGAAAGAAAAGGAAGGAGAGAGAAAAGGACAGGAGGGAGATGGGGACAGGAGTTGATGCCCTTGGGGGTCCTTACCTCTTGCTGTGCAGGGGCTGGGACTCCCGAAAGGGGACCATGGGGGTCTGCTTTGGGGGCCGGCTCAGGGACTGAGGGTGGCCGGGGGTAGCAGGAGTGGCCCACTTGGAGGCTGGTAGAGAGTTGTGGGAGGCTGGCCCACTCCACTGCCAGGGAGCATTGCTGCGGTAGGGGGGCCGGCCCCCAGAGGGCATGCTGTCCTGCTCAGGCTTGGGCTCTGAGGTATTCATGTCGTAGGTCTCTGGCCACCCCCTAGGAAGAGAAACTTTGTTACTCAGAAAGGCTCTGGACTACCTGCACACATGCCCGCTGCCTGGTAACATTGGGTAGGCTTCCCTGGCACAATTTAAACCATGGTGGCCTATTTTAGAGGCTGAGTAGACGACAGGGCCCAACACAGGGGTTCTGACTGGCTGCTTGACTTCATCTCCACGCCCCTTTTCTCCTTCTCTACTCATTTTCCTTCCTCTCCCTTCTCCCTGACACAGGCCTCAAATCAGCCAGTGTTCTCCATGGACTGGCTCGGCCCCCCTTAGCAGTACTGGAGCCAGAAAGGCAGAATTGAGCTGTGGGAGCTCAGTTCAGAGTACTTGGCTTGGAAGCTCTCATGCCCCCATTGAGCCAGTCCTCTGGTTTGGCTTAGTGGATAGAGTGTTGGACTACGGACCAAAGGGTCCCAGGTTTGATTTCCATCAAGGGCATGTACGTAGGTTGCAAGCTCCTCCCGGGGCCCAGGCCCTGGTCAAGGTGTGTGCAAGAGGCAACCAATCGATGTGTTTCTCTCTATCTCTCCCTCTCTCTAAAAAAGAAAAAAAAAAAATCAATAGAAAAATATCCTCCATGAGGATTAAAAAAAAAGGAAATATCCTTAGGATCAAAGGATAGTATCTGCTTTGTTCCCAAGAATATCAATGACAGCTGGAAGAGGAGCAGGTGACCTACTTAAAAAAAAAAAAAAGCCACAAAATCCAGAACCTTGAAATAAATGCAGAACTAACAGCCTGTGACTCCCCCAGACCAGGCTGGCACAGGAATTACAGCATTCCTGGCTGCAGGTGGGGAGAGACTTGGGCTGGGTTGGAGGGTCTTGGACTGGGTTGACATTCTCCACTGAGGCTGTAGAGCAGGAAGGAGGGCTCTGAGCCGGAGGAAGGAGCTGTGGGAGCTCAGTTCAGATACTTGGCTTGGAAGCTCTCATGCCCCCATTGAGCCAGTCCTCTGTGACTCTCCTGAGTCCTCTGGAGCCCAGGGAACTTTCAGGGCCACCAGACAAAATACTAAGTGCCTTGGAGAGGGCCTCTTTGGATTGAGGTATATAGGTGTTCTGTTTGCTTCTTGGATTTGAGCATCTAATTCTTTCCATAGATTTGGGAAGTTCTCATCCACTATTTGTTTTAATAGATTCTCCATTCTATGCTTCCTCTCTTCCTCCCCCGCAATGCCTATAATTCTAATATTGCTTTTCTGATTGTTCTCATAGAGCTTTTTCATCTTTCTTTGTGCTCAGGTCTTTCTCTTCTTCCCTGTGCATCATTTCTTGATTCATATCTTTGAAATCACTAATTCTTTCCTCCATCTGGTTGGTTCTGTTTTCTATGCTCAGTAGTTCACTCTTAATAATCTCAATTGCATGCTTCATTTCCAGATTTTATTTTCTCACATCTCCTTGAGTATTTTCAGAACTGCAATCTTAATATCTCTGTCATTTATATAACATATTTCCATGTGTTCCAGCTTGCTTTCTGGGGATTTTTCCATTTTCTTTCTGACCATCCTCATTACCATGGTTATTCATGATGTTTGCTCTTCTCCTTTGTCTAGGCATGCAGCTTTTTCTGGAGAGGTCTTTTTACTATTTTCTAGTAGATGGCGCTGAATCACAAGATTTTTTAGCTATGTGATCTCCCAGTCTCGAACCTCCATAGCTTCCATAAGACAGTACAGCCTTACTGTTTGGGGGTGGGGTTTGTTTTGCCTTCACAGTAATGGTGGCCTCTGACCTCTGTGGGGTTCTGCCCCAAGCACTCTTCCTGGGACCACTCACATAGGGAAACCGGTTCTACTGCAATAGCTCTTGGTTTGCCAATAATATGCTCCTGGACTGACGCAGCAGGGCTCTGTGGTTCCGTTGCTTTGCCTGAAATACCATTGCCGGTAGACAGTGGAGAGCTGTATGGCAGAACCCCATTCTCTGTCAGGTGTCTGATGACTCAGACACTGTGCACTCCCTCACTGCTCATCTTGCTGGGCTGCCCCTTGTCCCACTCTCCCCACTGCAGCTCTCTGTTCCTCCTGGCTGAAAGAAGCGCCTGCTACTGCCAGTTTCTCCCTTCTCCCAGCCAAGCCACAAGCTCTCAGCTGCAGGGCTGTGTCTGTGGGCTGTCTGTGCTTTCCTCTCTTCTTGACTCCCTGTTTAATCCCACTTGCCCACTTTTAGATGTTTCAATGTGTGGGTCTCTCAGGCGTGTGTCTGTGTTGAGCAGATATTTCTTTGTTGAATTATAGTTGGTTAAGCTGTTGAAATTTCACGCTGGCTCCTGACTGCTCACCTGCCTGCCTGATTGCCCCTAACTGCCTCTGCATGCCTGCCTGATCACCCCTAACCTCTCTGCCTGCCTGCCTGATCACCCCTAACTGCCTCTGCCTGCCTGCCTGATCACCCCTAACTGCCTCTGCCTGATCACCCCTAACTGCCTCTGCCTGCCTGCCTGATTGCCTCTAACTGCCCTCCCCTGCAGGCCTGATCTTGCCCCCAACTGGTTTCCCCTGCCAGCCTGATCTTGCCCCCAATCGCCTCTGCCTTCCTGATCACCCCTAACTGCCCTCCCTTGCCGGCTTGATCTCATCCCCAACTGACCTCCCCTGCTGGCTTGGTTGCCCCCAACTGCCCTCCCCTGCTGGCCTGATCTCGCCCCCAACTGCCCTCCCCTGCTGGCCTGATTGCCCCTAATGGCCTCTGCCTCGGCCCCCACCACCATGGCTTTGTCCGGAAGGAAGTCAGATGTCCAGAAGATGGCCGGCCGACCCGGTCTCATTAGCATATTACCCTTTTAGTAGTATAGATGGACATAAAAAGAATAGCACACTTAACCTCAGATACCATCCGGCCCCCTCCCCCCGCCCTGCCCTCTTGGCATTAATTAACAGATTCATCTCCCTCCCTCCCTCCCTCCCTCCCTCCCTCCCTCCCTCCCTCCCTCCCTCCCTCCCTTCCTTCCATTAAATGTTTTTATTGACTTTTAGAGAGAGGGGAAGGGAGAGGGAGGAAGAGGGAGGGAGAGAGAATCACTGATATGAAAGAGAAATATCGACTGGCTGCCTCCTGTAGGCACCCTGACTGGAGATGAACCTACAACCTAGGCATGTGCCCTGACCGGAATCAAACTGATGACCTTTTGGTACATGGGATGACGCCCAACCAACTTAGCCACACCAGTCAGGGCTCACCTCACTTTAAATAACCAGTTACTATTCCATCATGTGAGGACCTGGGATTTAATCAGCCAGAGCCTATGGTTGGATACTTAGGTTGCTTTTTAATCTTTTGCTTGACCAACAACACTGCACTAAATATTCCCTTCCAACCTCTTGGCTACTCACAGGAGATGTCTGAGGGAGGATGTCCCTGGGCTTGCAGACCACTTTTCCTCACTGCCTCCTTGGCCTTGATTCCTGACAGCCTGATTTTTGGGGGCCATGGGGACTCCTTTCTTATCTCACTTGTGCAGATTCAATTTCCCTTCTGAGGGAGGACTTTCCAACTCCCCACCCCATCTGAGGTCTGAAGTCCAACTAAAGAGGACAAAAGCTTCACAGATCACTTTCCCTGTCAGGCAGCAAAGCAACAGAGACAACAAGGTGAAAACATCCCTCCTGAGCCTGTGCAAGCACCCAAGGTCAAAATGACATATTTCATCAGGGGCTCTGGCATGTCCTCCTGGCTACCTGGTTCAGCCCAGCTGTGGCTTAGCAGTGCAGGGCTCACTTGAGAACCCCAGCCTTGTGGCCTAGGGGTGCAAGGATGTCCCCCTGTACTCTACCCCGTGTCCCAAGAGCATGGGGTCTGGATATGTGCCCTCCAGAGCCTGGCTAGTGGCAAGGAGAGCATCTTTGCCCATCCCTGAGAGTTTCCACTCAGAGCTCATCGTGACATTTAAGCCAGGAGGCCAGGGTTACATCAGGAGGCTGAAGGGACCCCAGAGTTGGGTTATGAGGTCTTCAAAGAAGGCCAGTCAGACACTCTTGCATTTGAAGTACCACAAAACCCACACAAGTCCCAACCCACACCCATCCCTGTGAATAGGAGATCCTGTTTCGTAGCCACTTTGTAAAGGGAGCAGGATGACAGTTTTTTTCCTAAATTGGGCAGGGAGCAGAACTCCTCTGTCTGGTCACACCCTCCCTGGTCTGTCTCACCAAAGCTAGAGAAGTAAGACTGCAGACTTTTACCTTCACTTCAGCTGGGCCCTGCTGCAGGTGTAGGGCACCTTCAGATCCTCTCACACTCCCTGAGTTTTGTAGTCATCCGACAGGTGGGCTGGCCTGCTGCGTGCATACATGTAGGGATGAGCATGTATGTAGGGAGAGGAGAGAGGGAGCCAGCCTGTGGGGTTACCTTGGCTTGACTTGCCTCTGCAGAGCTCAGAGTGGGTGTGGCTGGCTTTGGCTCTGCAAAGATGGAGGAGGCCCCAGAAGAGGACTGGGAGAAGGGATATCTGAGGCTTGTCAGGAGTCCGGAGGCTGAGGGACCAGGGTGTGCACGTGGGTGGCCAAACCCTTGGTTGCAGGGCTTAGACTTGCCCAGAACTTCCCCTCACTGAGTTCAGAGCAAGCAGGACTCAGGAAGAGGGGGGTGGAATAACCGGAACTTGCATGTAGGGAGTTTTCAACATCTCTCTTTTTAAAAATAATATTTTTATTTATTTCAGAGAGGAAGGGAGAGGGAGAAATAGAAACATCAATGATGAGAGAGAATCATTGATCAGCTGCCTCCTGCATGTCCCCCACTGGGGATCGAGCCCGCAACCTGGCATATGCCCTTGACTGGAATCGAACCTGGGACCCTTCAGTCCATAGGCTGATGCTCTATTCACTGAGCCAAACCAGCTATGGTGAGTTTTCAACAAAGACAGCAGAGCATATGGGGATGGGCAACCTGGATTGAGTTTGCTCTGTCAATTAGCTGTATAACCTTGCACCAAGTGACTTAACTGTTCCACTCTGGGCCTTACTTTCTTATCTGTTAAGTGGGGATCACACCAGTCTCGGGAGTTCATGTGTATAAGCACTCCATGTCACCTCATCTCATGCCTTCTTCTTGGATTACTCTGCTCTAGCCACACCACCCTACTACTACTTCTTTTTAATGTATTGATTTTGAGAAAGAGAGATAGAGAGAGAATATCGATTTGTTGTTATACCTATTTATGCATTCACTGGTTGCTGCTAGTATGTGTCCTGACTGGGGACTGAACTTGCAATCTTGATGCATCAGAATAATGCTCTAACCAATGAGCTATCTGACCAGGGTGTGTTTAATCACTTTTAACTGTTGGTAAGAACTACTGGTTCAGGCTCTTATGAACTTTGGGAATTTCTCTAATCCTTTCAGGTGTTCCTCCCACCCTCCACCTTTACTTTCTTAAAGCAGTCACACTACCCTCCTACTAATCTGTCAACAAGCCGAGGACCTTTGTTCTCACCTTTGTGATGAATGCTCCCTCCCTGCAAGGCCTTCTTCTGGCTCCTTCTCACTTTCTCGACCATCTTCTCCAAGGTCAGGTCATGCCCTTTATTTCCTCACACTCAGTATCTCACAGCTAGCGTCTCTATAGTGCCTCCTACAAGCCAAGTACTGTTTCACATGGTTTACCAGTCTCACCTCCTCCAACACTGCAACAACCCTTTGAGGAAAGGATCTATTATCGCCCTCATTTTACAAATGAAGAAACTGAGGTACAGAGGGTGAGGCCACTTGTGAAGGCTATAGTTAATAAAAGGAGCTGGGATTCAAACCTAGGCAATCTCACTGCAGAGTCCACCTTCCCACTACACTCGGCTGCCTCCCCTTTTTGCTGTATGAAATCGTCTTATTTGCTTAGTTGTTTATTGCCTGTCTCCTGACCCATATGTTAGCTCTATCAGGGCCAACTCCTTGACTGCCCTCTGTGCAGCTTGGAATGTAGTGATTTTCCCTCTCTGTCTCTGGTCATTTCTGGAGGTGGATAGAGTACCAACTCATCAATCCAAAAATTGAATTTATCCTGTCTTCCCTGTGTAAATTATACCTCAGAATAACCATATAGTTACTGAAGGCAAGTTCTTTTTAGAAGAATTACAGCCAATAAATGAAAAATGGCAGCATTGAGCATATCTATAATAATAAAAGCATAATATGCTAATTAGACCGGATGTCACAGCTGGGCTGTGAGGAAAGCCGGGTCCGGGTGCCTGCCGGTGGCTGGAGGGAAGCCTGGGTCCTGGGTGCCTGCCGGAGGCTGGAGGGAAGCCTGGGTCCTGGGTGCCTGCCGGTGGCTGGAGGGAAGCCTGGATCCCAGGTGCATGCTGGTGGCCGGAGGGAAGCCCGGGTCCCGGGTGCCAGAGGGAAGCCGGTACTGGCAGCTGGAAGGAAGGCCTACTCTTGCACGAATTTTGTGCATCGGGCCTCAAGTCACAACTATAATGAATAAATAAATCTAGGTAATAATCACAATGGCTGCTGAAAGCTGAGGGGAAATGTATGATGACGGGTGAGGTTGCCACATGTGAACCCTCTGATGGCCCTTAGCATCACACACAGAGGGACAGCCAGATACATGGTGCCTCCTGATGGACACACACTGGTAAGTGTTGTTACCAAAAGAAATTTAACCACAATCTGGTCAATACAGAACTCCAGTTTACAGGAAAAACACGTGCTAAAGGAACAGGGGATGCAAGCAGCTAAGTTTATGAAGTGGGAAACTCCTGGAACAGTGGCCTGGTTTCTTTCCCAAATAAATTGCAAGAGAAAAAAATAAAGGGAGGAGAACTTACAGATTAAAAGAGCATGAAAAGATACATCAACCAAGTGCAGTAGGAGGAGCCTGATTAACAAAACAACTGTTGTTTAAAAGTTTCTCTGATATGACGAAAGTTATTGATATTCACTTATTGTTAAAATTTGTAAGTGTACTAGTAATTTTTTAAAGATCCTAATGGGGTAGAGATACAATCCCAGAATTTGAATTGTTTCAAATAGTTCAAGGTGGGGAAGCTGGAGATTTAAAAACAAAAAAACTAGCCCTAGCCGGTTTGGCTCAGTGGATAGAGTGCCGGCCTGTAGATTGAAGGGTCCCAGGTTCGATTCCAGTCAAGGGCATGTACCTTGGTTGCAGGCACATCCCCAGTAGGGGGTGTGCAGGAGGTAGCTGATCAATGCTTCTCTCTCATCAATGTTTCTAACTCTCTATCCCTTCCCCTTCCTCTCTGTAAAAAATCAATAAAATATATTTAAAAAACAACAAAAAAAGTACCTTTAAAAAAACCAGCTACATGTTGACAAATGTTGAAACAACAGGTTCAGTATACTTTTAATATGTTTGAAACGTTGCATTAAAAAACACACAAACAAAATGAAAAGAAAACTTGCGCCCTAGCCGGTTTGGCTCACTGGATAGAGCGTTGGCCTGGGGACTGAAGGGTCCCAGGTTCGATTCTGGTCAAGGGCATGTACCTTGGTTGCAGGCACATCCTCAGTAGGGGGTGTGCAGGAGGCAGCTGATCGATGCTTCTCTCTCATTGATGTTTCTAACTCTCTATCCCTCTCCCTTCCTTTCTGTAAAAAAATCAATAAAATATATTTAAAAAAACAAACAAACAACAAAAAAACAAACTTGCACTGGCTTCCTACTGAATAATATCAAGCTCCTCATTGTATCCAGAAAGCCCCCCTCAATTTGCCATTGCCTCCTCAGTCCCTCTCTGTCCCTTTCTCCCACCTTTCACCCCTGCTTACTCTGTCCCAGCCATACCAGCCTCCCTGTGCTGTAGGAACATGCCCAATACACTTGCACTTCAGAGTCCCTGGCCAGTCCCTGTCTGGCCCAGAAAACCAGATGGCTACCTCTTCCCAGGAGCCTTCCATGACCACTCTGTCCGAAGCTCTCTGCCACGCTACAGACCCTGTATTTACCACACTTTAATCCTCTCCTTAGATCTCATTGCTGCCTGATCCTAGATTACCTGCCTATTTAATTACTAGAGGCCTGGTGCACGAATTCGTGCATGGGTGGGGTCACTCGGCCTGGATGGCAATTGGGGCCGACTGGGAGGGCCGGCTGGCCGGGGGTAGGGGCTGCGGGAGGTTGGCCGGCGGGGGAGAGAGACCGTGGGAGGTTGGCTGGCTGGGGGGGAGGGACTGTGGGAGGTTGCCCAGCTGCGGGAGGTTGTCTGTGGGAGCACACTGACCATCAGGGGGCAGCTCCTGCATGGAGCAGCTGCCCCCTGGTGGTCAGTATACATCATAGTAACCTGTCAACTGGTCATTTGGTCGCTTAGGCTTTTATATATATAGACTAGAGGCCCAGTGCATGAAATTCATGCACCGGGGGGGGGGGGGGGGGGGTCCCTCAGCCCAGCCTTCACCCTCTCCAATCTGGGATCCCTCGGGGGATATCTGACTGCCGGTTTAGGCCCAATCCCTATGGGACATCCCTCTCACAATCCGGGACTGCTGGTTCCCAACCGCCTGCCTGCCTGCCTGATTGATTGCCCCTAACTGCTTCTGCCTGCTAGCCTGATCACCCCCTAACTACTCCCTGCCAGCCTGATCGATGCCTAACTGCTCCCCTGCTGGCCTGGTTGCCCCCAACTGCCCTCCCCTGCCAGCCATCTTGTGGCTGTGGGCCATCTTTAAGGGTGGGGCAGTAAATTAGCATATTCCCTCCTTATTGGCTGTGGGCACCACCATCTTTGAGGGTAGGGCAGTCAATTAGCATATTCCCTACTTATTGGCTGTGGGCACCACCATCTTTGAGGGCAGGGCAGTCAATTAGCATATTCCCTCCTTATTCGATAGGATTGCCTTCCCTTCCCTGCCAAGGGAACAGGCACTGTTCACTTCTCTAACCTGAGCACTTTGATTGGAGCTCACACATAGTAAGGTCTCAATAAACATATGCCAAACAAATCAATGAAGTGCAGTGTACTCTGGGGCAATTTATCTCTTTTTTTGGTAAATCCTCACTGGAGGATATTTTTCCCATTGATATTTAGAGAGAGTGAAAGGGAAGGAGCGGGGGAGAGAGTGAAAAACATCAATGCGAGAGAGACACATCAATTGGTTGCCTTCCGCATGTGCCCCGATCAGGGCTGGGGATTGAACCTGCAACCCAGGCATGTGCCCTTGACCGAGAATTGAACCTGAGACCCTTTGGTGAGCGGGCCGATGCTCTAACCACTGAGCACGCTGGCCAAGGCTAGAGCAAGTTACTTTTAATGCTGCATGCGTTATCTAGAAAACAGACTGCTGAGGGTGCCCATCTCATGGGGCTGCTGTGGAGATGAAATGGGATGATATGCATATGGTGCGCTTAAACCATAACTGGCTTGCAGTATGTGTTTGGCCAATGTTGACTCCTACTCCATCACCATTACCACTCTTCTGGATGACAAAGGGCCTCAAGCAACAATCCCAGGGAGGCCTCTTGTCAGTATTCTGGGAGCTGTCAACCTCCACTGCCCCTCCCACCTTGCAGGGTGAACTCCCTTACCTCCGGGGTGTGCCATCCTCGAAGGGTGGGATGATGACCACCTTGACGGTGACGGAGGTGCGCAGCAGGTCGATCATCTGGTCGTGGGTCAGTGTGACCACAGCCACCTTGCAGATCTCCACCAGCCGGCTGCCTTGCCGGAGGCCAGCCTGCCAGGCAAACCCATAGTCTTCTACCTCAGCCACAGTCCCGTCGTACTTCACGTGGAAGCCCAGCTGCCCAAGCCCATTCCGCCGCAGAGTCATGTCCACCGTCTCCCAGCCGTTGGTCATCACCTGCAGGCAACAGGTGGGATCTAGCTTCACAAGCTGTTTGGGTCAGCTCTTGTGGATGACACCTGATCAGATTCCTTCCTTTGAGGCCAAAGACCCAGCTGATCCCCATATAACCTCCCAGGTGATGCCAGGGTGCAGAAGCACAAACACCCACCTAGTCCCAGCCCAGGATCCTGACTTTTGGAGAGAAAGTATGTGGCTCATTACCTCAGAGAGAGGCAGCAGTCACTAGCCAAGCCATGATCTCTAAACATATATACATGTGAGGTTCCAAGGAACAGAACCCCCGGTCCTTTAGCACATCCTCTTCTTGGGATAAAAAGATAAACTTAACAAGCTATGGCTATTAAGCAAGTTCCATCAAGATCTGTCTGCCCTTTCCTAAATCTCCATTAAGCAAAGAGAATGTGTGATGGTTTAAATTTCCTGTGAGAAGTCAACTCCTGGCTAGAAATTATCCTATTCAATGTGCCTATAAGAGTGGTGGCTTTCACACTTTTCTGACCATGACTTACAGTAAGAAAGAAATTTATCCCACAAGCCACACTACACATTTACATATGTACACATACATCCATACACACAACAATCTTCCTTGCAATCCAAATTGATCACCTTTGTGACTGTGGTTAGCAAGAAGTGAGAGTTTGGCCCTAACTGGTTTGGCTCAGTGGATAGAGCGTTGGCCTGCGGACTGAAGGGTCCAAGGTTCAATTCTGGTCAACGGCATGTACCTTGGTTCCGGGCACATCCCCAGTGGGGGGTGTGCAGGAGGCAGCTGATTGATGTTCCTCTCATCGATATTTCTAACTCTCTATCCCTCTCCCTTCTTCCCTGTAAAGAATCAATAAAATACATTAAAAAAAAAAAAAAAAAGAAGTGAGAGTTTGGATAGAAAAAACTTACCTGAAAATGAAACTATATCTGTTTGGTTCCTGATTTGGACAGTGAAAATTTGGGAAGTAGGGCAACATCTAAGATGGGAACGCCACAAAAGAGTGGAAATCCTTACTCACTGGGGTGTACTCTGATACTTTCTATTCTTTCCTATTCTATCCTTGGAAATTTTTGATTGAGATCCCATAATTGATTTCATTGCCTAGCCTGTTTACATAACAATAAGATGTTATTATTAATTCTCTACATATGATAATAACAAAACTTTTTAAGGGTTTATGTTTTAGAGATAAATATTAAAATGACAGGATGTCTAGGATTTGTTTCAAAATGATTAGGGGGAGGGAAAGAAGACATAAGGTTGGCCATGGCTAATGATTATGGATGAGGCTAGGAGTTCATTATGCAAATCCTTTTACTTAAAAAAAAAAGTCTAGTGCTTCCCTGGCCAGGTAGCTCAGCTGATTAGAGCATTGTCCCAATATGCCAAGGTCGTGGGCTCAATCCGTGATCAGGGCACATATAAGAATCAACAAATAAATGCATAAATAAGTGGAACAACAAATCAATATTTTTCTTTATGTCTCTCTCAAATCAATTAAAAAATTGTTTAGAGCCTCAAAGAGAAAGTATGACTGGATCTATCCTGATCTATTCTACTTTGGGAGTCGAAATTTCTTCCCTTTGAAGCAGTCACCCTTGTGTCCAAAGAATTTGGCTGTGGGTTATAGAGACAAGTCTGCACGTCTGTGTTTGTGCCCATGACCAATTAGGCCACACCAGCCCTGGGAGTCCTGGGGAGGACCCAATCTTCTGGGGGGGCCCAGGCATCTCAGACAATGCTGCAGCAGAACTGCTAATGGCCTTCAAACTCTATTCTCCCCTCCTTCCCTTTAGTAATAAGACTCCCCCCCCCCCCCCACCGCAAGTCAGAGTTCTGATGGGTACAGGGCCACCTAGTTGGGGACCACATTTCTCAGCTTTCCCCACAGCTGGGTGTGGACATATGACTTCGCTTTGGCTATCAGAATATGAGTTGAAGTGATGGAACTTCTACTTGTGTTTTTAAAAATAAAATTGCTTGTTCTCCATGCTCACACATTCTCCTTCCCAGCAGACAGGGATGTGGGTATGGAGTGACTGAAGGAAAAGGAGAAACCATAAAATGGAAGGGATGTGAGCCCTGTCCTTGACAGCCTTGACCAGCCTGAGCACTAAGCACGAGAGTATTAAACGCCCACCTTATTTCAGCTATGAGCAACTCAGTCTACAACTACCCACAACAGTTACTTTGGATCATTTTGGACAGGAGCTGGTAGGACAACTGTCTCAGTGTCCTGAAACTGCTGTGCCTGTTCCCTTTGCTTTTGTAACAAACCAAAGAAATCACTGCCCGAAGGAGAGATCCATTCCTGAAGTTTACAAGGTTCCAGAATGGTCCAATGGCAGAGGAACACCTTATGAGACCAAACACACAGATCAGTTTGAAGGAACCTCTGCCGTGTCATGCGGCCACACTGCCCCAAGCCCTCCTATGAAAGCTCATTTTCCTGAGGACTGATCTTTGTGTACCAGGCGCTAGGTATGCCTTTGATATGCCCAATTTCGCTAGTATTAATAATTTGCTTATTTTATTGGGTGCGGAAACTTGAGGTGATGTCAGTTCCTCTAGGTCTGACTCTGGAACTCCAGCTTTCAGCTACTGTGCTGTATTCCCTGCTGCTCCCCCTGCCGTTTGCTCTTTTGTTTCTTTGTCCCTTGCTCTTCACCAGGATGATTCTTATTTATTGCTCTAGTCACAGTATAAAAGTGATTTCCTCATGGAGGTGCCCCCAACCCTGGGGGCCAGGCTCACAAGCTGGGGTGCTTGGTGGGTAATGTGAGATGAAGGTTGGTGGAACCATGGCCAAATGGTATGCTTCTTGTATCATCTAAAGGGGGCACCCAACACCTGCTACGGCTGACTACTGTCCTGTGCCATTTTTAAGAGAAGCCAGAGAGCTATATTCATATAAAATCCTTTGATGTTAAGGTTTGGTACCTAATTGAATATGTCTGGGGCTGCAGTCACCCTGCATGTTGAGACTGTCTCCCATGACAGGTTCCCTTGGCACCCTCAACACGCCTCCTGGTATTTAGGCCTCAGGTGGGAGCACCAGGAGGGCAGGCCTGAGCCCATCATAGTCACTGCTACATCTCAGCATTGCTCCACCAAGGGCCAGGCACATAATAAAACTTCTTGATTTAGCAAAAGAAGATGTCCGAATCCCAGTTCTGTGGGGAGGGAGGGTGTGGACTCCTCATCCTGAAGGACTTAAGAAGAGAGACTCACTGTCATGAGTCGTTTCAGATGGGCCTGCCCTTCACAGAAGATGGCTTATGCCATCACTACCTGGCCACCTGGTTTCTCAGTGGGCTCTGGGGCACTGAGATGGTGAGGAGGGCTGCGGAAGTGTGCTCTAGAAGCACCACACCCACAGTAGGCACGAGGTGGGCATGGGACGAAGTGGCACAAAGAGGATGTGGAGAGGAGAAACCAAGATGGCGGCATAGGTAAACATCGGAAATTGCTGCCTCGCACAACCACTTCAAAAATACAACTAAAAGACAAAACGGACACCATCCAGAACCACAGGAAGGCTGGCTGAGTGGAAATTCTACAACTAGAAGGAAAGAGAAAAGCACACTGAGACTCAGAGGAGGTGCGGAAGTAAAGTGCAGAGGTACAGAGGCGCGCGCAGAAAGGGCTGGCAACTGAGGACATAGTTGTCTTTTTCAATTGGGAGGGAGTCTCAAGCTCCCTACTGCTCTGAACTCCAGTTCCAGGCGAGTCTCTGGGGACCCAGACTCATACGGGGAGAAAGTGGACTGTCTGGCATTGGTCGGAACTCGAGGGCGGCTTTCTCTCAGAGGTGCTTGCAGCGATTACTGGGACACTGAGACTCGGGGCCTCTTAGGGTAGGACTGAGGATCAGCCATAGCTGTTTGCTCCACCCTGTTGCTTCCCTGAGACCCCACCCCACCCAAGCTGTGCGCAGAGGCTTTTGCATATGAATGACCTGGCCCTTTGCAATCTAAAATTACCTAACAAACTGCAGCTGGGTCAGAGAGACACAGAACATCCAAAAGAAGGCCCAAGGCCCCACAGCAGCTTGCACTGCTTCACAGCTGGGCCTCATCTGGGTACCTCCAAACCCCAAACAAAGAAGAGGAATCTGCAGATCCACTCCATAGCTCCTGCTGGGTAACCTCAGGCAGAGGCTAAATTA